TTTTTTTTTTTTTTTACTGAAAACTACATTTGTTGTGTCTTGTGTTTATAATTTTCCCACCAAAATATTTACTCCAACATTTTGCTCACTTTTAGGTAATTTTCTGTCATTTTTTTGTATTGTGAGAAATTGTCGAAAAATAAAAAAAAAAAATACCCCTTTAATTTGTAAAAGTTAATTATTATTATATTGTTCAAAAGATTAATTTATTTTTATTGATTTCTGATTGTTACATTGAAAATATAATGGAAATGTAATCATCGAACAATATAATAAAAAATAGTGTGGATAAATGGTACATCTGCAATGACGAGTACGTTGGTATGGAAATCACAGTCAAATAAATTTAATGCAGAGGTGACGTGTCTGTTACAAATGGCTGTGATGAGGCTGTGTTACCACTCGCCAATGATGAATTGATTTTAAATTTGGCTACAATGAATTGACTCATTTACCTCTCATGGCTAACACTAATTTTAAACCATGAATTATTCCTCATTTAAGAACATGTTATGTCGTCTTCCACAGAAAACTAAATTCATGTTTAGGAAAACCTATGTAATTTTAAGCACATGTAACAGTAGTGTATTTCAATGTCAATTCAAATATTAAAAAAATTTGTCATAATATTGTGATTATCCAGTTTGCCAAGTGGCTTAACTACTGTAAAATACTTTATTTTAGCTGGAATTAATTTTCGCTGTAAAGACTTATTGGGTAATTTGTATGGAATTTGTTTTCACTGATATTTGACAAGTTGAATGTAAAATATATGAAAAAAAAATTCACTGGATTTTATTTTTACTGAATCTTTCCTTCAGTGAAAATTAATTCCAAGTGAAAATAATCGATAATTGATGTATGGTATTTTCCACAGTGACTGTTACTATTTCATTCTTTAGCAAAATTCCAGCTGTGATTAATATTATTGCTAATTTTTCAGTTTAGAAATGCGAGGAATGCCTGTGTACATTTCTGCTTAGTAGACTCTCTTCGAAGTCAAGCTACTACAGAATTTGAATTTCATTTCATTGTTTTGAAGTTCTATGGTTGAAGTTGAGTTTGTTGATCGTGATTGAAACCGGCAGTCTCTGTGCACATGTGCATATACTTGGTACATGATGGTTTTACAAGTTTTATTTTGTACCA